CTAGCCTTAGCCCTGGCCTTAACTCTAGCCCTATCCTTAGCCGTAGGCTTAACTCTAGCCCTAGCCTTAGCCCTGGCCTTAACTCTAGCCCTATCCTTAGCCGTAGGCTTAACTCTAGCCCTAGCCTTAGCCCTGGCCTTAACTCTAGCCCTATCCTTAGCCGTAGGCTTAACTCTAGCCCTAGCCTTAGCCCTGGCCTTAACTCTAGCCCTATCCTTAGCCGTAGGCTTAACTCTAGCCCTAGCCTTAGCCCTGGCCTTAACTCTAGCCCTATCCTTAGCCGTAGGCTTAACTCTAGCCCTAGCCTTAGCCCTGGCCTTAACTCTAGCCCTATCCTTAGCCGTAGGCTTAACTCTAGCCCTAGCCTTAGCCCTGGCCTTAACTCTAGCCCTATCCTTAACTCTAGCCCTATCCTAAGCCATAGGCTTAACTCTAGCCCTAGCCTTTGCTGTAGCCTTAACTCTAGCCTTAGCTGTAGCCTTAACTCTAGCCCTATCCTTAACTCTAGCCGTAGCCTTAGACCTGGCCTTAACTCTAGCCCTAGCCCTAGCCTTAGCCGTAGCCTTAACTCTAGCCATAGCCTTAGCCCTGGCCTTAGCTGTAGCCTTAACTCTAGCCCTAGCCCTAGCCTTAGCTGTAGCCTTAACTCTAGCCCTAGCCTTAGCCTTAGCTGTAGCCTTAACTCTAGCCCTAGCCTTAGCCTTAGCTGTAGCCTTAACTCTAGCCCTAGCCTTAGCCCTGGCCTTGGCCTTCACCCAAACCTTATGCTGCATTCACACCAAATGCGATTTCAGCGTGAAAGATGCGTCCATTGCTCCAAACATGTGTGAACTTTGAGGTCAAACAGCTAAAGAGCTCCTGTCCATCTGTCTCAGGTTAGTGAACATCATTCAGAAAACTGTCCCGTCAGGAAATCTTGTCACTACGTCACACAGTGGAGTCTCTGATTGGTTGACGCGCCACGTTGAGCTGCAAATGTTTAAGTTTTCCAACTCTGACAATCAACGCGCATCAGGCGCGTCGAACATTCAAATTGCTCAAAATGCGCTAAACTCGCTGCAGCACTTCCAGACGCTCTTTGGCGTGCGTCCACCGTAGACTTTGCATGTAAACCTGACGCAGCATTAACTTTAGCCCTAGCCTTAACTCTACAAACATCATTTATTCATCATATTTATCATAATAATTAGTTTTTTCCAGAGTATCCCAACCCTATGTTAGACTCCCTCTAAAAACCAGGGTGGAACTCTTCAAACCCAAAAGCTGTTTCAGAGACTCGAGGTGAACACTTTAGTATCCTGCTCAGCATCTCCAACAACTGATGCTGCAAACAAGATTTASAGTTCTGACTGTTTCCAACCAGTTCTTTAAACGTCAGCTGAAGACATGAAAACACTCAGCTGAGTTGCAAACGGTAAACGCAACTTCACGAGGCAGAGCAGAGGCTGAAGGAGCAGAGGAGGCAGGTTTCACACCGTAAGGACCTCCTCCTCCTCCTGCACTGACTGTTACCTGGTAAACCAAGACCTGAAGAACAAAGTTTAGGTCCAACAGATGAAGACATGAATGAWAAAAATATTTCCTTCATTTCTTCTGTTCATGATTCCTGCAGGTTTTCCTGATACCTTCAGCCCTGCTTCAGAATCTAAAGTCTTCCTGGACCCGCTGTGCCGGGTGTGTGTGTGTGTGTGTGTGTGTGTGTGTGTGTGTGTGTGTGTGTGTGTGTGTGTGTGTGTGTGT